TGTAAATAAGCCACAACGCTGCTGTCATGTAGGGCAGGGAAGGCCTGTTTCCCCTGCAATATGAGGCAGTGAATTATGTTTGCGTATTGCACATGTGTGTGTAGGTGTATGTACACGAAACCAAAGCTGGATTACAGACAGGGCTAAACATGAACATGCTCCAACCTGCTCCACTGCAGATCTTTTGAGCCCAAAAGCCCCAAGCTACTTGGTGTCATTTAGTTTGTTTAATTATCAGTCCTATTCATGATAGTAAATCTGTACTCACCATTTTAATTGCTTATATCTGGAAATACAGCAACATCACTCTAAACAAGTCAGACAGGGACTGAAGAACTCAAGTGATCATACAGGTTTTAAACCAGTGCTGGTGACTCTTAATTAATCCATTCTTTTTTTAAGTTCTTTTGGTCTCTGTAATTGTATAGCCATTTTATAACCGGTTTGATGGAAATAATTAGGAAAACTTTCCTAATTTCCTAATCCTTTTTCCCAAAAAAGAAAATCTAACCTTGACCTCTTGTAAATGTTCATTAATTATCCATTTACTATTGGAAACTTTACACTCCATGTTTGTGTAACTGCACACTTGCCTGTAGACATGTTTTAATGTTTGACTGACCTACTGTTGCGCACCAACTTAAGCACTGAATAAATTTTGCAATTACTTACAACTGATTAATTTATTGGACAAGGATACCAATTAAGTAATGTTTCTGTGCCCATATAATAAATACCAAATTACATAGTCCTTTCTAGAAATCTTCCAAGAAAATAATTTAGAAATTATTCAGAGATAATAGTTATGTGTCCACAGTTTTCCACAGAAATGAGAGACACCAATATTTGGGTCACTTTTGGTTTTACTTCCAGATTAAGTGTTAAGTGAGAAAATCTGGCAAAACTGTCATTTGAACACTTGTGTTTGTTGCCTTGTTGCAGGGAAGTCAATTGTTTCCATGTTTGAGCAGCACTTTGGTGAGTGCGATGTTATCAAGAGCAATAGAAATGATGGCCAAAAACTATAGGACGCATGAAACGGCAACAGATGACTAATACATGAGTAACAGCTTTGACACTATTCTGAATGAAGATTGAGTGGTTGATTGTTTCTGTTAAAACAACAGACTCGAAAGAACTACATGGGCAGGGTCACCGGCTGCAGGAAGCTGAGAGTTAGAAACAGTCAAACAAAATGATTCTATCAGACATGAAGGGTGTAAAAAAGAGCTAAATGCATGTGGGCAGTGATTTAAATGAGAATGAAAAATACAGAAATGAAAATAAACATCTAAATGGTTATCAAGCCTAACCAGCATGACTTTTTTTTTTTCTTTCTTTTATTATTATTGTGAGTGCCTATGACACAACATTTACCCGTCAACTCATCAATGAGTCCAAAACTGAGAATGCTACCGACTGACAGCGATGGGTCACTTCAGATTCGTGGACAGATGATTACTGTAAAACAGAACATCTAAACCTCTAGGTCACTTCACATCAGCAACAAATGGGAGTCTGACTGAGTGAATGCTTTGCACATCTGAATGGGACAGTACATTAGCCTACACAAAAAGGCAGAAACCCTCAAGCTAGCCATTATGCAAGCCCTGCATGAACACCATCTGAATGTGTTAAAGTGAGCAGAGACAGTGCAGCCTATGAGTTTAATTTACGCTACAGGCGCGGGCCACATCGTGGGACATTCATTACCAGATTGGTCCGGATTTGGTTTAGACATAACTGCAGGTTGTTTCTGCTACCGAGCGTCTCTGGGTGCTGGTGTGGGTGCAGGGCTCGTGCGAGACCACGAGGTGTCTTCTCCCTAAAGGGAAGGGTTCAAACAAAGTTCAGAGCAGATTTAAGGTATGGAGGGCAAACAGTGAGTACAGCACTGAGCTGGGCACAGTTACTTTAGACTGTGCATAGAAGCTCGTAGCAGGCAGGAGACAGGCTCACTGTTGGGTGTCTGTCTGTGTCAGGTAGAGGACACTGAGAGGAAGTCAACCACTTCTGAGTCACTTATGAGCTCAATCTCTCCCTAACCGTAACCACTTAGTTGTAGTTAGTCACTCCTATGACGTTGTCGGACTCATGATGGGCAGAAAAAAAAGATCAACATCAGTATAGCACAACCAGCCAACCACCATATCATCAAAACCTGGTGCCTACATTACCTACAATGCAACACAACTGCCAACAGTTCAGAGTGCGATTTTGGGCATGTTATGCTTGTACCACCTAATACAGCCTTGAGGCTTTAGCTTCAAGCAGAGATCAGGACGGGGCTCGCTTCTTTCTAACCTCACACCCCAAATTTTTTATTTTTTTTATTTTCACACTTGTTGTAGTCATCCAATTCAAGCAACGCTGTAACATCACTTCAAGCAATTTTATCAGATTTCATGCAGCTCCCTCTGGAAGCAGTAGTACACCCTGAGACCTGTAAACACACTTTGATGTGTAAAATCAGTGGAGCTGCCCTTCACCCAAACCTTGACCACAGGCAGATTAGAAAATGCTCATATCATTTTTGTAATGGTGATAGGTCATTTTGCGGGGCACTGACTGAAGATTTTGTCATTTAGGAACTGTTGGAAGCCAGTTTAAAAAAGGTACCAACTTACTTGAATAGATTTTGTTTGATATGTTTTGCAATCCCTACAACTTTCCAATCTGATGGCATGACTGTGCTCCACACATGAAAGCATTTCTTCAGTTTCAGTTTTTCTTCTTCAAACGGTTCAACAAACAATACAACACAGTGCAGCCATCAAACAAAAACACTGCATCGGTGTGCTGCCATGTGATTTACTGTACTACAGTACTACTGTGAGGAAAGCTTATACTACTCTGGAAAGTTAGCACAATATTCCATCACCACAACTGCCAGGTAAACCGTTGAAACTTGCTGTTCTCATCACAAAGTAATCTATGAGGAATGTTCGAAAGTTGAGCCAGGAGCAACTGTTTTGCCAACATGCTGTTCTCGGCCGCCCCTGCTGTGCCAGTGCAGCGGTTTCACGCAGTGATGTTGTCTGTTTGAACAAGAAGCCGTTTCCATATGGAGAGATAAATAGATAATTACACATGGTGACTCACAGCCAGAGCCCCTCCACTGGGTCTGTATGCATAAGATTTCTGCTTCTTAGCGCGCTCTAATTTGCATGTGCCTGTTCGTACTCAGCAGTTTTGCAGGGATCCCTCACCAGGGTTACCTACAACCTGTGAGATCTTCCACCACATTTAACTCTTCTTATTAATGTCCCTGGAAACAACTACTCCTTTGTATGTTCTAAGAAAAGCAGCCAAGATGTGTTTTTCTTCCATTTTGTGATTGGAACAGAATAATAGGACCTGACGTAGAGAATGTTTACAAAGAGGAAGGGCATGCTGGGGCCTTTATGCAACACTGATACTCTCCCTGTGTGGCTCAGATTTCTCCTGTTGTTAAGCGTCTGAGATCTTTCTGCTCTGCTTCCTGTCACTCTGTGTTTCCCAGAGCTGAATGAAGTAAATGCCTTGACTCACACACCGATCTCTAATTAACACTCGTGCTATTGAAAATCAATGCTTATTATGTCTGGGCATCTATTGTGCAGATGCATATGAGAATGTTTTTAAAGGATGGCGTCATTTCACAATGCAATGTCCTTGCTTGAGTAAACAAAAATGTATCATTTTCACTTGTATTTGTCTACACTGAAGTTGCTCTCTATTATTTTATATTTCCATGTGAAATAACATTCATTTACATGAACATTTGTGCATGACATACAGAGGAACACAAAAATAACTCATGTCACCACATCATATATCCTCATTGTTGACACTGAACGTGTCACACTGGGAGCACCCACTTGTCACATTTCTTCATTTACATAAACATGGCCGGTGTGGTTTATTCCTCATAGCAGTGTAAATACAGAATCCTGAGCATCCTCAGTGATGTTCAGCCAAAACTGAGATACTCTGGAGATTGAACATGCAGCAGTGGGCAGTTTTCAGGGTTATGAATTGTATTGGATGAAAGCTTAAAAAGGATAAACAGGTCACAAAGAAGCAAAAACTAAAATCTGCATTTTTCTTTTTTTCCTATCTCTTCTTGTTTTGCTATGTGTGAGTGAAAAGCAGAGGTGATTGATATGAATGTGTTGTGTGAAGGTCATAAACATGAGTCAGTATTTTCTTACTACCCAGTGTTTGGTCACTTACCTGCCGCTTGTGTGAGTGGTGAAACAAGCCAAGTGACTGTGTGTGTGTGTGTGTGTGTGTGTGTTATTGACATTCATCTCACTCTTCTGTGATTATTTCACTGCTTCCCATGAAATGACTAATGAACTCAGAATAAGACACAATGAAATCCTTAACTGAGTGAGAGTGATGCTTCTGAACATAGTAGATAAAAGCGTTTCCCTTGTGGCTATTGCCATGGAGATTGAACTATGTCAAATAGACATAATGAGCTCATGGCAGAAATCTATGGGAAAGTTGGATGCAGTGACATGAGGCAGTGAAACACTGCTGTAACACATCAAAGGCAGCCATACAAGTCCCTACTTGTGGTCTACAGTGTCATGAATAGGCCTTCACTCCCTGTCTGTCTACTGTCTCACACTCTCTTATTCCCTCACACACTCACAAACACCACGCTTACTTTCCCTTTCCCTTGTCGTTCAGATTATAGCACTCCACAATGATAAGCCGTTCGACTTCCTGGTAATGCCTCTTCATAATTTTCTAATCATTAACTTATGCGCTTAGGGAAAAGTCTGAAGGAGGATACATATACGAAACAGCGCTGTAAGGAGACTGCAAACCCTGGAGAGGAGCTGGAGAGAAGCACCGATCATCCTGAGGTCAGTTCCACTCAGATATAATCCGATTTGAAGACTTGGCAAACACGCTGCCTTTTAAAATTTAAATCAGCCTGCTAAGATCAGTGTTTCAATCTGCCTGAGATCTGCTTTAATCTGATTGTTCTCCCTGTTACAGTGAAATGCAAAAGTGCTGACAATGGGTTTCACAGCATTGCATATACTTTGCCTTGTACCTGCATTCACTTTGACAACACAAGGTATGTGAAACTATTTCAAACTATAGTTCAAACTGGGGGGGGGGGGGGGGGGGGGGGGGGCACAAGTAACAGTGTGATTATGTTGATAATATAACTGAAAAGAAGCTTTTAGTTCAATTGAACCAAAATCTGTGTCTTTCTCTACAGAGTTGGTGGGACTGAGTGTGGGTCCCAGGATTACTGCAGAGTGTGACAAACAGGTTACTCTGCCGTGCAAAGTGTCCTCAACTCAAAACGGACTATCAATCAAACATTTAGAGTGGTCCACCACCCAAACGTCTTTATGCGCTGTGAACAGTGAGGGAAATATAACATACAACAAAAGTCTATTTAGTGACTTCCGTTGTGAGTATGGAGAACGACAATTGTCCCTCATCTTTCAAAAAGTGCAGCCACTGAAGTACCTGTGCAAACTTCGATCCAACAAGGGGGTGCTGTATAAATATACAACTGTGGAGTTACAAGGTGAGAGTTCACATCTGTTCTTATTTTAACAAACAGTATTATGTCTTAACAAGAGCTGTAAAAGAGCTTCACTGAATGTACAAAATAGAAAAAGACTGGTTTAGTTTCCCCCGTTGCAGTGGAGGCAGGACCACACTGATTCTTCCCTTAAAGGTGTCCTGTGGAGTTGACTAGTAAACGAACAAAAATTATGTTCGTTTACATTAAGTGTTACTTTCCAAAACAAACTGTGATCAGTAGAATAGGGTGAAACCACTGGACTGTGTATAGCGTCCTTGTGTGTACTCATGACAAACAAAACAGGGACACACTCATAAAAAACTGCTCTACAGCACTGCTAGGGGTCCAAAGGTCCACAGGGGGCCTTCAAGTAAAAGTTGTAATACCGCTGTGCAAAAAGCAAAATTCAAACTGTCATTCATATTTTTATTTATGTTGAAGTACAGAGTTATTAACAGGAAAATAAGCCTCTCATTACACAGAATAGTCATAGTGCCATATTTTCACATTTAATATTAGATTATTATTACCAATGCACTGATGCAGCTAATCATCTGAGAACCATTTGCTACCATTTTCTAACAAGACAATCTTATTATTATCTTATTATTACTTTTGGCTTTATCACTGGGAATAAATTTCATGTTCATGTTTTACACATCGGAGGTTGTAAGAACAACCTTTGAGTTTTCAGAATGTAAAAATAAAAAATCCTCTGTTTTTATCATCCTCCATCATAAAATTGTTTTTAGCTAGTTCTTTAGATCAACAGGAAGACCACTTCCATGGACTATTCTTCAGCCACAAAAACCTGCTGAGCAGCGGAAACAATTTGATCAGGCTTAATAATTCATTATTTACAACTAATGGCTTATTAGAAAATGAGAAATCCTTTTTTAAAATGACATTTTCACTTTGGTGGTCAGGGTTAGTGTAGATAAAGAAAGATTAAAATTGTAGATTAAAAAAACCCTTTATTAATGACATTTTTCAACGCAGACCTGGTGGATTTTGTGTATAAAATCTCAATATGAGAAAATGAGCCGCCATGTTAATAAATTGATTTGATTTGACTGCAGCTCTTTCGCAGAAGTTATGTGGTTGAGCTAGCCAATTAGAGGATCTCTCCTAATGAGTTAAATTCTCTAAATGCTCCAAAGCCATTAAGACAAAGCAAGTTATGGTGACGGAGGATGAACAGCAGCAAAACTGATTTTTTTTTTTTTACAACTTGTACAAAACAAAAGTTTTTAATGTGTTATGGCTAATCCACAAAGCATTAATAAATGATCTATTATCCACTGATAAAGACACAAGTCGAAACTTACATAGACTACCTAATAAAAATGATGTTTAATGTGACAGCTGATTGAGCCAATATGTGCTAATATCTATGTTTATACACTGTTGGGGAGTGTTATCTTCTTAAAAATAGATTTACATTTTAAATGAGAGCTTGTCCCTAATATCAAGTGCCCCTAACGTTTTGTACATCAAATGTAATCAAAACCCTGGTTTTCCCCTCAGAGTGTGGTCAGATCACCGAGGCTGTTTTGACAAGTGAGGGTCCTGCTTGCACCTTCAACGATGTGTACCCAGACGGTGACGTGCACTGGTTTCACGGCTCTCACAATCTCTCGGCTGGGTCTAAGGAGACCTCCACGACTAAAAGTGTGGATGAAGGGGGTCGGCTGATTATCCATAGTGACCTGAAGAAGTGGAAAAGTTCAGATGTGCCCTACAATTGCTCCTTGAGGAGCAGCAAATCTGGTAGATACATTGCAAGTGCTTTGGTTAAGATAACTGAAGACCTTGTCGGGCGTGGAAAACCTGCATCTACTTACTCACTCCCCAGTGGAGTCAGGTCACAGGAAACTATGGGGACACTTTTGTATATTTCAGTCTTACTGGCTGTCATGCTGAAATAATGGATTTGCTGAAGTAAATCCACATCATGGAGTGTGATAAAATATCAAGGTGAAGGGATGCTTAACACTGATTAAGAACAATGAGTAAAATTTAGGTACTGAGATTTATGTATTCTTTTGAAACCCAGGGCAAAGCACTCTCAGTTAAGTAAGTCATCTTGCATGGTCCAAAGGTGTATTATTCTTCCTTTTAGCACTTGGCTGAAGTGAACAAGGAAATTACAGACTGCTGAGAGGGGAGTCGATAATCATTACACTGTATAAAATACCTTTGTTGTTTTGTTTCGATGGAGGGTCACAGATGAGGGAGCAGAGCGCATCGGTTTCATTACACTCTTTCAGAAAACAACAAAGACACACATAGAAACACACACACACACACACACACACACACACACACACACACTTTCATACAACTGCAAACACTCAGGGAGTTCTTTTGGCTCCTGGTTCCATTTAGTCTTGAGCTCCACACACATTCTGGCCTCGGATTATTTTCAGGGGTGTATATTTATTTCTGAAAGAGTGCAATGAAAATATCAGCTGACAGGTGTGTCCACCATGTGTCTACAGCACAGCTGTCTGAGTGTGTGTGACCGTGAGCACCATGAAAATAACATCTTGAACACAATACAGGCTTGAAAAGATGGGCTCTGCTGCAAATTCCCTTCAGAACCAGTGAAGTCTTTGTGTGAGAAATATCAGAAAGCTGAGCACAGGAAACCTCAGTCATGCAACAACTCTGGGGTTTGTGGTCGGATGCTGCCCTCTGGTGAACTAGTTGAGATCAGTGAAACATGAGGCTGTGGTTGCCGTACACCTTAAGGGAGGGCATTGGTTTGTTGTGCTCACCGAATGCAAAGATGATATTTAAAAGCAACAACAGTCGACAGTTTTCACAGGGACTACTTTTCTCTAGAAAGTAGTTCTAGAAAAACCTATCCACAGTGAGGTGGATTATCCAGTGACATGTAGTGAAAAAAAAAAATCAAGCCAGTGCATAAAGAGGTAAGTTATCAGAAATCTGCAAAACTTTATATTTTGTTCCTTTTAATCTGAAATCTGACCAGGAGTCAGTGTCCTTGGTACAGCAGACACAAGTAAGAAGGGAGCTACAGATCATTTCACCTGCTTTGCTTCTTCAACTTGCCCGTTCGTCTCTCACTCCTCAAGTCTTTGCAGCTGTAGCTTGAAGCTAGAGGACAAACTCAGCTCCAAGGCTAAAACTCTGCCTGTTTTTAACAGCTCAGTGCACCCTCTTTGGACATCTGAGAGCCTTTTCAAGTCAGAAAGACTCTCTGCTAATGGTGTCACTAAATCGGCACTACACAGGGGCAGGTTGAGCTTTTAGCAGGACGTTGCTGCGGCTGAGAGCCCACTGGGTAAATGAAAACAGGGTCACCTTGACTATTCAACGCGCACACACGCACGCACACGCACGCACAAACACGCGCGCGCACACACACGCGCACACACACACAGTTAAATTTTGTGTTGTGGAATAATGATGTTTCAAATGTGCCGTTTAGAGAAATATTGCTTCTGGCTTCTTTTTTTTTCTAAATATCACTCCTGACAAAATGAAATACACTTCACTTATTCCTCTTTGGCAGTGCAAAATTAAAGCTATTTAAATAAATGGCCATAAATTACAATAATAAATCACAATGATTTGTTTTAAAGGGAGCTGTTTGTTTATCTATTGCATTATGATACAATGTGAACACTGCTTGTTTTTGTGTGTATAGTCTTTTTCCCTGTTGAAAGTAAAAAAGTTTTTTATTTTTTTAAACAAGAAATGTCAATCAATGAGTCGTGGCTTTGCTGAAAATTGCTCATCTTCAGAAGATTTAACAGCTTTTTTGTTTGCTATTGTTTCTATATTTGGGATTTTCATTTTCACTGATGTTGACGTTTACAACAAAATCCTATTACAATTGCTGGAGGTTTTCAGATAATAAAGAAATTTGTCAATAAAAAATGATTTGCTGGCTGTTTTCTCTACGACAATAACAGACTGGAGGCCATAGTTTAATCATGTACATGTGAATGAATGTACGGTGCATTCAAAAGGAGGCAGCATGCTCAAACAGCTTTATTACATGAAATAAAAGATTAAATTTGAGTTATGAAAGTGTGGCTTTCCCATATTTCTGTAACGTCTGTCTAAATCAAAAAAGATCTATAGCAACAAAATAGATAGATAACTGAAGGAAATGTTTGCAAACAAACCACAGACAAAATTTAAATCAGTGTTTTAGATTTAAATTCAAGCTTTTCAGATGTGACTGAAAGATATTTTCTGAATCCAAATCTCATTACTTGATCATAGATGCAACATGGATGTAATTTAAGAGATTTTAAACTATACCGTAATGTCAAAATGAGGCTGTACTTCTCTAGCTGAATTTGAAAGTTCATTCTTGAATTTGTGAACATAAGAAAAACAATCTCACCATCAGTTAAGTTCAATTTGGTAGTTGTTCTTGATCTTTCTGTGATATCACATGCTCTTTGTGCAGATGGAGTTTGCGAAACTGCAGATGATCAAATTTCACTGTTTTTAGAAAGAAATCAGAAAGGCATTTTAGCATCTGCAACTCCACCACAACTGCTAAAACTCCATCTGCAGATGAAGATCATGTGATATGATCAAAAGCTCCACTACAGCTACTGAACGGACCTTGGGATGAGATTGTTTGGTCAACTGCACTTTCAGTTTGGAGCCAAAATATTCCAGAAAAGTCATATTATTTTGTAGAAACCAGAGCATCTTGGTTTCCAGGGATTACTATGATAACGACAAACTGCATAAATCTCTCTCTATATACTTGCAACATCCACTTCAAACCACAAGAGGGACCAAGTTCCACACTTAACACTCATCCCTTCAGACAAATAACGATTCCAAACTGCATATTGATGCTTAGCTGCAGGGTTCAAAAGGGCCAAGTCACTGATGACTGAACCCAGACAACCTTTTCACTGTGCAACAAACGCTTTGCTTCATTATGAATAAATACATGATGACTGTTAGTTTACAGACTGTTAATGATATATTATATTAATAAAGCGTATGGCCAGACTCAGAGAAGAAAAATATAAGATAATGGTGTTATTTGTGAATACATTTCTCTGTGGAAACATGTTTTCCAATGGATTTCTTGTTATCTTTACATAGTTATGGGGGGATGAAGTCCAGTTGCTCTTGTAAGTGACCAACATGATTTTCTCATGTTACCTCAGGAAACACGGGCCTTGTTTCTACGAGTGGCCGTGCTGCTTTGTTACATCATCTCTCTCTGTTTGAAGTTTGTTTCTCCTGCGAGCACCTCATCTGGGCAAAGTACACAGTGGGGGGTGTTCGGTCTATTCACCGCAGTGTGTGTGTGTGGTGTGTGTGTGTGTGTGTGTGTGTGTGTGAGTGAGTGTATACAGGGGTTTCAGGTCAAGTTTCCATGGTAACTGAGAGGTATCTCACTGTGTGCCCCTGGCTTCATCTGTGTGTGTGTGTGTGTGTGTGTGTGTGTGTGTGTGTGTGTGTGTGGCCAATTATCCCAGTGAGCTGTTATCTCTTCTCAGAGAGGTTTACATTAGCACCCTGACAGCATGGTGGTCATTGGTCAGGTGAGCGGCCACAGCTGGTTATATCATATACAAGAGCAGAGGGTGGGGGGAGGTGGACTGATCGAAAGAGGCAAGATAAGAAAATGACTGACCAACTAACAGCGAGTCGGGATGGATAGATGGATCAGAGAGTCGGAGAGGACAGAGGAATGGGGGGATGGAAAGAGGAGATAAAAGCCAGATTTTGTCAACAAACAGCAGAGATTTATGTGAAGCACTGATAGCCTGTTACCTAACATTGCAGTAAATGGGAGTTGGCCTGGGATTAATTGCCCCAAGAGCCGGTGTACACAGGGATCAGTTTTGTTGGTGACAGTTGTCACAGTCACAGTGTCTGACTTCTGTGTGTTTTCTGTCTCCATTTACCCATTTTAGATTATGCACATTCTGCTCACACACACTCTATGCATATTTTAGAAAATGCAACAATGTGTTTTAAAACTACAATATTGGTTCACAGCCCGTAGCACTGTATGTTTTCATTCAGTGCAGCATTAACAGCAAAGTTGATTCATTTACTTGAGTAAAAGCAGCAATATCACCAAGTACCAACAAAATGTACTTAAAGAATCGATAATGAAAGCACTCATACGACCAAATGGCCACTGTTTTATATGATTTACAGATTATGATATATGACTACATGAGTAGCAATTTGACTGATATCTTAATGGTGCATCAAATGACAATGTGAAAACAACGTGACTATGTGAAAGAGGTCACATTAGTGATGACAGAGAATTATTGCCCTAATCTGATCATTGTTCAACTGTCAACTCTTCTTAATGAAAAAGCTCTAAAAGTCCATTGTGCAGCACCTGCAAAAACCAGACACACACAGTGAGAAACTAGCTGGCGATTACTGACTGGCTAGTGGAGCACTTAGCAGCTAAAGAGCCAGATATTTCCCTCAGAAGTTGGTAGAGACCAAAAACAGAGCTAAAAGAGAGTGAATATTGAACCAGGAGCACAACTGCAAATGAATGATAATGTCCCTCTGTAACTTCTGGATGTGTAAATAAGCATCAGTCTGATGACAATGTTAAACAACTTAAATGAACTTAAGAGGTGATGACATGTCATGACATGTTCCCAACTTGTTTTTGCTGCCTCTAAGTGGCCAAAAGCATTTCATATTGCAGGTCTAAGTAAAAACAGCAATGACACATCATAAAAATATTTCATATCTAGTAAGTATACAATATTTTATTTTGTTTTAAAATGTCTTGCATTTAGAATGTACTTAGTGAAAATAAAGAAGTATTAGAAACAAGATGTGCTTAGATTATCAGAGATGAACATACTCATGCAGTGGCTCCTTTCAGTGTTATTTTATTCATGAATCATTATTATTGACGCATTAATGCATAAGCAGTATTTTAACATTCTAGTAGGTGGAGCTAATTTTCTATTCCTTTACTGTTGGGGATTTTAATCTGTAATCATGAATCACATCAAAGCCATGAAATAAATGTACAGTAATAAGTGCAACAACATTTCTGTCTGAAAAGTAGTGCAGCAGAAGTAACAAGTAACAAACAATGAAAATCCTGGAGTAAATGGTACAAAGGTGCATTACCGAGGCAAATGTACTTAGTTCCTTATTGCCACTGAAAACAGCAACATACATTTTACAACCTGATTCTCCCAAACTGCTCCAGTTTACATAGTATGCTGCTTGTAGATCACAGCAAAACATAAAGCAGTGGTAGCTCAAACACTGAATGCACTATGTCGTCAGTGTACAGTCTGTAAATATGTCAGGCGACAGCACAGGAGGTTTAATTAAACACTTCATCCCTTGCCACACCATGAACATTATATAGCAGATCAGAGAGCATCAGTGACTCAAACATTTTCCACACTGCCAACACTGACTTCATTTTAACGTCTTGTAAGATATTTTCACAAGGTTGTCAACAGAACAACCTAATCCATTTTCTGTACATTAAGCACTGATTCAGACTTCTGAAAGGCTGTTTTATAGAGAGCAATACATGAATAGCCCAATGGAAACACTGAGTCGTGCCTCAGCTGCTTCCACGTCCACGCTAACAGGATGTGGTCTCTTGAAATGTTGATATGAGAAATAGAAGTGTTGAAAGTAATGAATAAAAATAAGCATCTATGCTGCTGTTCTGTGAATGGAAGATGAACCGGTTCGCCTTCAGACACCACTTTCAGAAAACCTGCCAACAAACAGTGTGAAGTCCTCTGAGTGCCATCATAAGATACCAAAATATTACAACTGTAGTGCTGCGATGCAGAATGCTTGAATGCACACTCTGTTTAAGTCTTACTTCCAGGTCTGACAGCTAAGATGAAATATGGGGTGTCACTTTTCCCACTTGCTTTTTGACAGACTAAGCCTAAAAGTT